CATGTTCGAGGATGCCGTGTGCACCAAGACACCGGCAAGAGTCAGTACGCCTTTATCGGTAATCACCGAGGCGTTTGAAGATCTCGCGGATTTGCTAAAACCGCGGTGGAAAGAGCGATCCGAAGAGGAAGAAGAAGGAGACGGATTAAGGCTTGAGGCTTTCTGTAGTGCATGTACTCACGTCTCTGTTCTCTTTGGTTGCCTCGGATTCGCCTTCAAATTCGCTGAAATGGAATATGTCTCCAAGGTTAAGGATTTGGTGGAAGCATCGAAAACATTCGACACGTTACAAAACATTTTGGATCTAGACGTGGAGAAAGAAACGGTTAAAACACCGGGAAGCCATTCGCGTAACCTAAGACGTGTAAGGCAAGGCTTAGACCTAATCCGCGCGATCTTTGAACAATTCTTGATCACAGATCATGAGTATTCTTTGAAAGATGCTGCAACAACAGCTTATACAGAAGTATGTGCACCGTTCCATACGTGGGCCGTTCGGACCGCGGTTTACGCCGGAATGTATACACTTCCGTCAAGGGATCAACTTCTGTTACGACTTAACGAAACAGATCAATCTGTTGAGAAGAACATGAGGAGGTACATGGAAGCGTCACGACCGATCATAGAGTATATTGACAAGCTTTACATTGAAAGGAATATTAAATTGGATTGGTAACAATTTTGATCTATTTCAAGTAACAAAAATTAACCATAAGAAGGTTGTCCTTGTAAATAGTTTTTTTTTTCTTATTGTTTTTTGTAAATTAAAATTGGAGCTTCTGTCTTTGAGGCCAAAAACCAAAATTTCTCACCTTGTATAATGTGTTGAGCAAATTAAAACATTCTCAAAACTAAAAATGGAAAGGAAGAGATGAATTATTTTAAGTCGTCGTCATTTTTCATGTTTTGTACAAGCTAAAAAAAAAACAATATACATATCTTTTTATGAACAAATATATTTTGTTTAAAACAAAAATTGAGTCAAATACCGGTATCCAAATTTTTGATGCGGATATTCGAATAGAATTTTTTGGCTAATGTCCAGAAATTTCTTCGTGTGATATATCGGAAATATATTTATTTTGATTATTAAACATCATCATTCATCGAAGTCTGGGTGGTGTAGTCGGTTATCACGCTAGTCTCACACACTAGAGGTCCCCGGTTCGAACCCGGGCTCAGACACATTTTATGTTAATATTATCATATTTTACAAAAAATAAGCAAAATGTATAGCATTTAACTGCCGTAAACCTTTTTTGTTCGTTTGTTTGTTCACATTGCTTCACACCTTATCATAAACTATAATAAAAAAATTGATCTTGAATCAACGTCTTGTGAACTAAATCATCGACTATAATGTAATCATAAACATGTGTAGTTAACTCTTTTTTTTTTGCAGATCTTGAATCAACGTCTTTAAAGATTAATCATTTTATTAATGGCGCAGATGAATGCTATTATGAAGATTAATCATTGATTCAGGAGCCGCCCTTAAAGCGAAAGCCACAAAATTAGATAAAAGTAAAACCTCCCCTCTTATTAATTATTTTTAATGAATGATTTTTTTTTTTTTAATGAATTTTATGTATATGCTAATCTGTGGAAGAAACATCATTTAATCACGATGGTTTTTATATAATTTTATATTAGTTGTTGCATAGTCTCACTCCAGAATAAAATACGTTATCATCTTAATTCATAGGCTAATAGAAGATTTGT